TCAGAATGTCTACGCTTGCCACGGTACTGTGGATGCACACTGCCGAATTAATGTGCTTAGTGCGGACGCATGCACTCGACTTTATACAATCTGTTCCCAGAAATCAACTTCTGTAAAATCGGAGTACTTTCGTAGTGTAGACATGGCCTCAGAGAAATGTGGTTTATGAAAGAGCATGTTTTTACCAGAGAATTCAAGAACCTGGGGAAAATGTTGAATGTTTTATAAAAGCTCTGAATACATTGCCTGAAAACTGATTTGGGGAATGCAGATATCAGAGACAGGCTGTTTATTGGGTTAACAGGTAAAAACAGCAGCTTCAATTAAAAAGAGATTTAACCCTACCCACAGCTATTGAAATAGCAAAGTAGTCTGAGCTGGTGAAACTGCAAAATGAAGACCAACTTGCCAAACCTGATAAACAAGACACTAGCTTAAAAGCTGTTAACAGATGAAGCATGAGTACTAAAAGTCATCATACAAGAGTTCCTGAGGCAAGTCCATGCATGGCAAGTCACCTGACGCAGCTCTGACTAATTTTGGGGGTAATCTGAACAGCATGGGCCAGTTCACCACAGAAACAATTTACAAAGACAAAAGCTATGTATGTGCATGTGATCAAAGATCAACAACCTTCTCAGGTGCAGTGTGGCAGCCATGATGGTCCTAGTGAGGAAGGTGAAAGAACCGACCATACCAAGTGGCTGCAACTAATAGACAGCTGGATGACCAAGTTGTTATGCATTTGGATTGTGTAATTAGAACGTCTGCATGATTCAGAAACACTTTACAGACTAGTACATTCTGAACTGCAAAGACAGTGTGATAGTGTAAATCAGTGGCTCTCAGCCTTTCCAGACTACTGTACCCATTTCAGGAGTTTGATTTGTCTTGCATTCTCCCCAGTTTCATTTCATTTAAAAACTACTTGCTTACAAAATCAGACATAAAAATACAAAAGTGTCACAGCACACTATTACTGAAATATTGCTTACTTTCTCATTTTTACCATATAATTATAAAATAAATCAACTGGAATGTAAATGACAGGTTTCAGAGTAGCAGCCGTGTAAGACTTATCTGCAAAAAGAAAAGGAGTACTTGTGGCACCTTAGAGACTAACCAATTTATTTGAGCATAAGCTTTTGTGAGCGACAGCTCACTTCATCGGATGCATCCAATGAGGTGAGCTATCACGCACGAAAGCTTATGCTCAAATAAATTGGTTAGTCTCTAAGGGTATGTCTACACTACGGAATAAGGTCGAATTTATAGAAGTCGGTTTTTTAGAAATCGGTTTTATATATTTGAGTGTGTGTGTCCCCACAGAAAATGCTTTAAGTGCATTAAGTGCATTAAGTGCATTAACTCGGCGGAGCGCTTCCACAGTACCGAGGCTAGAGTCGACTTCCGGAGCGTTGCACTGTGGGTAGCTATCCCACAGTTCCCGCAGTCTCCTCTGCCCATTGGAATTCTGGGTTGAGATCCCAATGCCTGATGGGGCTAAAACATTGTCGCGGGTGGTTCTGGGTACATATCGTCAGGCCCCCCGTTCCCTCCCTCCCTCCGTGAAAGCAAGGGCAGACAATCGTTTCGCGCCTTTTTTCCTGAGTTACCTGTGCAGACGCCATACCACGGCAAGCATGGAGCCCGCTCAGGTAACCGTCACCCTATATCTCCTGGGTGCTGGCAGACGCGGTACGGCATTGCTACACAGTAGCAGCAACCCCTTGCCTTGTGGCAGCAGACGGTACAGTACGACTGGTAGCCGTCATCGTCATGTCCGAGGTGCTCCTGGCCACGTCGGCTGGGAGCGCCTGGGCAGACATGGGCGCAGGGACTAAATTCGGAGTGACTTGACCAGGTCATTCTCTTTAGTCCTGCAGTCAGTCCTATTGAACCGTCTTATGGTGAGCGGGCAGGCGATACGGACTGCTAGCAGTCGTACTGTACCATCTTCTGCCGAGCAGCCATGAGATGTGGATGGCATGCAGTCCTTCTGCACCGTCTGCTGCCAGCCAAAGATGTAAAAGATAGATGGAGTGGATCAAAACAAGAAATAGACCAGATTTGTTTTGTACTCATTTGCTTCCCCCCATCCCCTGTCTAGGGGACTCATTCTTCTAGGTCACACTGCAGTCACTCACAGAGAAGGTGCAGCGAGGTAAATCTAGCCATGTATCAATCAGAGGCCAGGCTAACCTTCTTGTTCCAATAAGAACGATAACTTAGGTGCACCATTTCTTATTGGAACCCTCCGTGAAGTCCTGCCTGAAATACTCCTAGATGTAAAGCCACCCCCTTTGTTGATTTTAGCTCCCTGAAGCCAACCCTGTAAGCCGTGTCCTCAGTCGCCCCTCCCGGCGTCAGAGCAACGGCAAACAATCGGGCATCTAAGAGTGCTGTCCAGAGCAGTCACAATGGAGCACTCTGATGGGGCTAAAACATTGTCGCGGGTGGTTCTGGGTACGTATCGTCAGGCCCCCGTTCCCTCCCTCCCTCCGTGAAAGCAAGGGCAGACAATCATTTAGCGCCTTTTTTCCTGAGTTACCTGTGCAGACGCCATACCACGGCAAGCATGGAGCCCGCTCAGGTAACCGTCACCCTATGTCTCCTGGGTGCTGGCAGACGCGGTACGGCTTTGCTGCACAGTAGCAGCAACCCAATGCCTTCTGGCAGCAGACGGTGCAATACGATTGGTAGTCGTCCTCGTCGTGTCCGAGGTGCTCCTGGCCACGTCGGCTGGGAGCGCCTGGGCAGACATGGGCGCAGGGACTAAATTTGGAGTGACTTGACCAGGTCATTCTCTTTAGTCCTGCAGTCAGTCCTATTGAACCGTCTTATGGTGAGCGGGCAGGCGATACGGACTGCTAGCAGTCGTACTGTACCATCTTCTGCCAGGCAGGCAAGAGATGAGGATTGCTAGTAGTCGTATTGTACCATCTTCTGCCAGGCAGGCAAGAGATGAGGATGGCTAGCAGTCGTACTGTACCATCTTCTGCCGAGCAGCCATGAGATGTGGATGGCATGCAGTCCTTCTGCACCGTCTGCTGCCAGCCAAAGATGTAAAAGATAGATGGAGTGGGTCAAAACAAGAAATAGACCAGATTTGTTTTGTACTCATTTGCCTCCTCCCCTGTCTAGGGGACTCATTCCTCTAGGTCACACTGCAGTCACTCACAGAGAAGGTGCAGCGAGGTAAATCTAGCCATGTATCAATCAGAGGCCAGGCTAACCTCCTTGTTCCAATAAGAACGATAACTTAGGTGCACCATTTCTTATTGGAACCCTCCGTGAAGTCCTGCCTGAAATACTCCTTGATGTACAGGCACCCCCTTTGTTGATTTTAGCTCCCTGAAGCCAACCCTGTAAGCCATGTCGTCAGTCGCCCCTCCCTCCGTCAGAGCAACGGCAGACAATCGTTCCGCGCCTTTTTTCTGTGCGGACGCCATACCAAGGCAAGCATGGAGGCCGCTCAGCTCACTTTGGCAATTAGGAGCACATTAACCACCACACGCATTATCCAGCAGTATATGCAGCACCAGAACCTGGCAAAGCGATACCGGGCGAGGAGGCGACGTCAGCGCGGTCACGTGAGTGATCAGGACATGGACACAGATTTCTCTGAAAGCATGGGCCCTGCCAATGCATGCATCATGGTGCTAATGGGGCAGGTTCATGCTGTGGAAAGCCGATTCTGGGCTCGGGAAACAAGCACAGACTGGTGGGACCGCATAGTGTTGCAGGTCTGGGACGATTCCCAGTGGCTGCGAAACTTTCGCATGCGTAAGGGCACTTTCATGGAACTTTGTGACTTGCTTTCCCCCTGCCCTGAGGCGCATGAATACCAAGATGAGAGCAGCCCTCACAGTTGAGAAGCGAGTGGCGATAGCCCTGTGGAAGCTTGCAACGCCAGACAGCTACCGGTCAGTTGGGAATCAATTTGGAGTGGGCAAATCTACTGTGGGGGCTGCTGTGATGCAAGTAGCCCACACAATCAAAGATCTGCTGATATCAAGGGTAGTGACCCTGGGAAATGTGCAGGTCATAGTGGATGGCTTTGCTGCAATGGGATTCCCTAACTGTGGTGGGGCTATAGACGGAACCCATATCCCTATCTTGGCACCGGAGCACCAAGCCGCCGAGTACATAAACCGCAAGGGGTACTTTTTGATAGTGCTGCAAGCTCTGGTGGATCACAAGGGACGTTTCACCAACATCAACGTGGGATGGCCGGGAAAGGTGCATGATGCTCGCATCTTCAGGAACTCTGGTCTGTTTCAAAAGCTGCAGGAAGGGACTTTATTCCCAGACCAGAAAATAACTGTTGGGGATGTTGAAATGCCTATATGTATCCTTGGGGACCCAGCCTACCCCTTAATGCCATGGCTCATGAAGCCGTACACAGGCAGCCTGGACAGTAGTCAGGAGCTGTTCAACTACAGGCTGAGCAAGTGCAGAATGGTGGTAGAATGTGCATTTGGACGTTTAAAGGCGCGCTGGCGCAGTTTACTGACTCGCTTAGACCTCAGCGAAACCAATATTCCCACTGTTATTACTACTTGCTGTGTGCTCCACAATATCTGTGAGAGTAAGGGGGAGACGTTTATGGCGGGGTGGGAGGTTGAGGCAAATCGCCTGGCTGCTGGTTACGCGCAGCCAGACACCAGGGCGGTTAGAAGAGCACAGGAGGGCGCAGTACGCATCAGAGAAGCTTTGAAAACCAGTTTCATGACTGGCCAGGCTACAGTGTGAAAGTTCTGTTTGTTTCTCCTTGATGAAACCCCCCGCCCCTTGGTTCACTCTACTTCCCTGTAAGCTAACCACCCGCCCCTCCTCCCTTCAATCACTGCTTGCAGAGGCAATAAAGTCATTGTTGCTTCACATTCATGCATTCTTTATTCATTCATCACACAAATAGGGGGATGACTACCAAGGTAGCCCAGGAGGGGTGGTGGAGGAGGGAAGGAAAATGCCACACAGCACTTTAAGCACAGCACTTTAAAAGTTTACAACTTTAAAATTTATTGAATGACAGCCTTCTTTTTTTTGGGCAATCCTCTGTGGTGGAGTGGCTGGTTGGCCGGAGGCCCCCCCACCGCGTTCTTGGGCGTCTGGGTGTGGAGGCTATGGAACTTGGGGAGGAGGGCGGTTGGTTACAGAGGGGCTGCAGTGGCAGTCTGTGCTCCAGCTGCCTTTGCTGCAGTTCAACCATACACTGGAGCATACTGGTTTGGTCCTGCAGCAGCCTCAGCATTGAATCCTGCCTCCTCTCATCATGCTGCCGCCACATTTGAGCTTCAGCCCTCTCTTCAGCCCACCACTTACTCTCTTCAGCCCGCCACCTCTCCTCCTGGTCATTTTGTGCTTTCCTGCACTCTGACATTATTTGCCTCCACGCATTCGTCTGTGCTCTGTCACTGTGGGAGGACAGCATGAGCTCGGAGAACATTTCATTGCGAGTGCGTTTTTTTTTCTTTCTAAGCTTCACTAGCCTCTGGGAAGGAGAAGATCCTGTGATCATTGAAACACATGCAGCTGGTGGAGAAAAAAAAAGGGACAGCGGTATTTAAAAAGACACATTTTATAAAACAGTGGCTACACTCTTTCAGGGTAAACCTTGCTGTTAACATTACATACATAGCACATGTGCTTTCGTTACAAGGTCGCATTTTGCCTCCTCCCACCGCGTGACTACCCCCTCAACCTTCCCCCCTCCCTGTGGCTAACAGCGGGGAACATTTCTGTTTAGCCACAGGCAAACAGCCCAGCAAGAATGGGCTCCTCTGAGTGTCCCCTGAAGAAAAGCACTCTATTTCAACCAGGTGACCATGAATTATATCTCACTCTCCTGAGGATAACACAGAGAGATAAAGAACGGATGTTGTTTGAATGCCAGCAAACATACACTGCAATGCTTTGTTCTACAATGATTCCCGAGTACGTGTTACTGGCCTGGAGTGGTAAAGTGTCCTACCATGAAGGACGCAATAAGGCTGCCCTCCCCAGAAACCTTTTGCAAAGGCTTTAGGACTACATCTAGGAGAACCGCAAATGCCAGGGCAAAGTAATCCTTTCACATGCTTGCTTTTAAACCATGTATAGTATTTTAAAAGGTACACTCACCAGAGGTCCCTTCTCTGCCTGCTGGGTCCAGGAGGCAGCCTTGGGTGGGTTCGGGGGGTACTGGCTCCAGGTCTAGGGTGAGAAACAGTTTTTGGCTGTCGGGAAAACCGGTTTCTCCCCTTGCTTGCTGTGAGCTATCTACAACCTCCTCATCATCATCATCTTCTTCGTCCCCAAAACCTGCTTCCGTATTGCCTCCATCTCCATTGAAGGAGTCAAACAACACGGCTGGGGTAGTGGTGGCTGAACCCCCTAAAATGGCATGCAGCTCATCATAGAAGCGGCATGTTTGGGGCTCTGACCCAGAGCGGCTGTTCGCCTCTCTGGTTTTCTGGTAGGCTTGCCTCAGCTCCTTCAGTTTCACGCGGCACTGCTTCGGGTCCCTGTTATGGCCTCTGTCCTTCATGCCCTGGGAGATTTTCAGAAAGGTTTTGGCATTTCGAAAACTGGAACGGAGTTCTGATAGCACGGATTCCTCTCCCCAAACAGCGATCAGATCCCGTACCTCCCGTTCGGTCCATGCTGGAGCTCTTTTGCGATTCTGGGACTCCATCATGGTCACCTGTGCTGATGAGCTCTGCATGGTCACCTGCAGCTTGCCACGCTGGCCAAACAGGAAATGAGATTCAAAAGTTCGCGGTTCTTTTCCTGTCTACCTGGCCAGTGCATCTGAGTTGAGAGTGCTGTCCAGAGCGGTCATAATGGAGCACTCTGGGATAGCTCCCGGAGGCCAATACCATCGAATTGTGTCCACAATACCCCAAATTCGAGCTGGCAACGTCGATTTAAGCGCTAATCCACTTGTCAGGGGTGGAGTAAGGAAATCGATTTTAAGAGCCCTTTAAGTCGAAATAAAGGGCTTCATTGTGTGGACGGGTGCAGGTTTACATCGATTTAACGCTGCTAAATTCGACCTAAAGTCCTAGTGTAGACCAGGGCTTAGGTGCCACAAGTACTCCTTTTCTTTTTGTGGAATGTAAATATTTCGCTTACATTTCACTCTACAGTATATAGAGCAATATAAACAAGTCATTGTATGAAATTTTAGTTTGTACTGATTTCGCTAGTGATTTTTATGTAGTCTGTTGTAAAACTAGGCAATTATTTAGAAGAGTTGATGTACCCCCTGGAAGACCTCTTCATACCCCCAGGGGTATGGATACCCCTCGTTGAGAACCACTAGTGCAAATATTGTAAATGGTAGGAACATAGAACAACTGGGGAGATGTAATAGAAAGTTAAACTGTATTATACGGTTCAGCCACTAGATGGCACTGTGTGTAAAATACTTTAAGCTAATCTGAGCCATATCTGGCAGAGCATTAAAGGATCTTAGGAGGAACACATGTAGTGTGTAAATGCAAGCTCTGTAACTAGCTCATATCTGGTACTGAAGTACATGAAGAAATGGATGGCTGTGGCAAGGATTAAATGATTAATAGACCCAAGAGCTCTGATGACTTTCATCATCTGTGGAGCCATCCTGCAGGCTATAGCCTGCTGCATACTCAGGTCCTCAGTATACAGAATGAGGTGAAACTCCAACCAGTGAAGAATATATTTTCCAGTACTACTCTCCTGAAAGCAACCGGATCTGTAGGGATCTGGCAGTGAGTTTTTATTATAACATTTGCACCAGTGAACAGTAGTTAGGGATGAATCTTTACATGTAAATAGCAGTGAGGGAATAGCTCAGGGCTCACCTATCTTTCACAGCCTCCTCTTTTTAACACAAACAACAAGAAGTCCTTGTGGTACCTTAGAGACTAACATATGTATTTGGGCATAAGCTTTCATGGGCTTACTTCATCAGATGCATGGAGTAGAATATACAGGAGGAGGTATAAATTCATAAAAAGATGGGAGTTGCCTTACCAACTGTGAGGTCAGCCAAACAAACAATTCAATTAACAGCAGGATTGTAGTGGTAATGAGAGTGGCCCATTTCAAATAGTTGATAAGAAGGTGTGAGTAACACTAGGGGGAAATTAGGTTTACATTTTGTATTGACCCAACCACTCCCAGTCTTTATTCAGGCCTAATGTGATGGTGTCCAGTTTGCAAATTAATTCCAGTTCTGCAGTTTCACGTTGGAGTCTGTTTTTGACTTTTTTTGTTGAAGAATTGCCACTTTTAGGTCTGTTATTGAGTGACCAGGAAGACTGAAGTGTTCTCCTACTGGTTTTTGAATGTTATAATGCCTACAACTATTACTCACACCTTCTTGTCAAGTGTTTGAAATGGGCCAATCTCATTACCACTACAAAAGTTATTTTTCGTCCCTTGGTATCCTGCTGTTAATTGAACTGTTTCATTAAACTGACCTCACGCTTGGTAAGGCAACTCCCATCTTTTCATGTATTTATACCTGCTCCTGTATTTTCCACTCCATGCATTTGATGAAGTGGGTTTTAGCCCATGAAAGCTTATGCCCAAATAAATGTATTAGTCTCTAAGGGGCCACAAGGACTCCTCCTTGTTTTTGCTGATACAGACTAACACGACTGCCACTCTAAAACCTGTCTTTTTAATATGTTTGCTATTCTCACCTTATCTTTCAGCTCTTTTCCTTTGAATTTGCTGCCAATCCATGAAAGGGGGCTAGGCAAGTGTATTTGCTTTTTGGCAAACAGAAAGCTGGCAACCCTACATGCGAAGGGGCCAGGTGGCCAGCATCGCATCCAACTGCTTTTGGCTGCCCTAACCTGATGGAGCAGACACCTTTCCGCAGCAGGGTAAATTGGAGGTGGCATATCAGTGAGACTCAGAGTCACAACCTTCAGGACCGCAATCAAGCGTCGTAACCACTGAGCCACGGCCTTAACAACCAGAGACCATACGCCCCGCCCCGATTCCGCCTCCCCTGCCTCCCGCTAGAACTGTCGCCGCTCGCGCCTGCGCCTCGCTTTCATAGTTTAGCTCCGCCCCTCCCCTCCCTTCCTTTCCGAATTGGCGCGGCCTACTCACCTAGCCCCGCCTCCCGAGGGCCGTTTTGGCCCCGCCCCATCTTTTGACCGCTCCACTTCTGGGTCAGTGCTGACCGCGCCCGCTGTCCTGCCCCTCATCTCAGGGCAGTGCTAGCTACGCCTTCCTTTGAGCCCCGCCCCCTGGGCCCGCACTACCTCCGCCTTCCTCCTTGGCATCGGCGCTTGGGGACCATTCAGGTCCCGCCTCCCGTTGTCTCGCGCCCTCGGGGCTGTGCTGACCACGCCCCCTGGGCCCCGGCTGGCCCCGCCCTTCTCCCCCCCTGATCGGGGGCTGGGCTAGTGGTGGCGCAGCGGTCGCTGGTGCCGCGCCGTGACGCAGCCAGAGAGGCTGGGCCTTCCCCTCCGCCGCCGCTGGACGCTGACAGACCCGGGGAGATAGCGAGCGCCGCTGGGGTTGTCGGTGGCTCCTGTCGCCTCGCTCGCCGCCAGGGACCCGGGGAACAGTTGGCGCTGCTGCCGGCCATGGTTCCCCGCCCGCCGCAGGAGGGGCAGGGGCAGAGGCAGAAGCGGCAGCCGCAGCCGCCATTGCGAGCCGGGGCTGCGGGAGTATGAAGGATGGAAGCGGACGAGGTGACAATTCGTGAGCAGAACTTCCACAGCCAAGTGCGGGAGTACACGGTGCGTACGGGGGCGGCCCGCCCCGGAATACCCCCCCTCCTGCGGCCCGCCCTGTAACCCCCATTCATCCCGCCCCTCATGCCGCCCGCCCTGTAACATCCCCCCCCCCCCTCCGGCTCCTCGTTCCGACCCCCATCCTGCCCCCCGGAATTCCACCTCATCCTGCCCCCCCATGCCCTTCATGCCGCCTGCCCCGAACCCCTCCCATCCCACCTGCCCTGGAACCCCCTTATAGTGCCTCCTGCCATCTTGTCCTTGCTGGAACCCTCATTCACACCACTCCCTCATCCTACCCCCGGAATCCCTCTTCCTGCCACCCCCACATCCTCTCCCCAACCTCATCCTGCCTATCCTGGAACCCTCCGCCGATCTTGCTTTCAAACCTCCTGCCTGCCCTGGAATCACCCCCATATCTACCCCTATCCCATCCCAAAACCTCCCTCTCATACTGACCCCCCCATCCTGCCCACTTCAAACCCCCCTTTTATATTGCTCCTTTGCATCTCACGCCTGCCCCATGGCCACAGTGGAAAACCCCTGTGCTCCCCTTCCTGTCTGCCCTGGAGCACCCCTCATACTGTTCCTTTCCATCCTGCCTACTCTGGAATCCCTGTCCCTATCTTGCCCATTCAGCCCACTCTGTGACTCTTCCTCAACCTCCCGCCCCATCCTGCCAGCATGTGAGCCTCTTAACACCACCCCAGACCATTCTGCCTGCCTTGTATCTACCACCATTCTACCTCATAGCGCCCCTCACTGTTCCACTCTATAACCCCCTCAAAGTGCCCTTACTATCCTATATATCCCATCTTCACACTGCTGTCTCTGTATCCTCCCATCTTACCACACTACATCTTCTCATACTATTCTTCCCTCCCCTCATACTGCCCCATATCACACTCTGCCACCTCATACTGCTCTCCATTTCTAATACTACCTACTTATTTACCCATAGTGCCAATCCAACTTACTCTATGCACCACCCCATATTTCCTGTGATATTGCTTCATGACTCTTATCCATTATAGCCAGGTGCGGGAGTACATGGTGTGCCTGGGGAGGCTTACCTGTGCCCCCATAACACCCTCTCTGCTTTACAAGTCTTAACCTTCCACAGATAAGTGATAGTGTACAGAGGACACATTGCGTCCCTATGCTTCTGTACTCCACCCGCCCATAGTTCCTTCATGCTGCTGCATTATGCCTCCTATCAGTCAAGTATAGGAGTATAGAGTATGCACATGTGTCCTGCCACCCCTCTACCATGCTGTCCTACAACTGTCCTCATTTCTCTCCTCAGCCAAGTGTAGGAGTACACAGTGTGTACAGAGGGCATACATTCCTTTCATACCTCCCTAAACTCCCCCTTCATACCATCCCCAGTACTGTCCGATGCTCCTCTCTCTCGCCCATAGTCAAACACAGAAACACACTTAGCATATGGGTAGTGTCTACCACCCATACTGCCCCAAGCACCTCTGCGAAACAACCAAATGCCACAGTACACACAGATAGAGGGATCTGACAGGGATCTCACCCTGTACTGTCTCATTCTCCCCCAGCCCTGTGTGGGAGTATATGATGCATACATAGGTGCTGTGGAATGGGGGCTGACTATTACAGTCAAAGGTACATGCTATGTACAGGGAACATACCATTTCATACTGACTCACACCACCCTTATAAAGTTTGCAAAAATATATGCAAAGGTATACATTACTAGATTATATTTGAAAATTGATCCCTTAAATAAGAATATGATTTCATAATCTAGTAACTTGTGGTGACATATTTTTAAATTTTATTAGACAGCAATATTAAATTTGGGTGGGCTATGTAAATCAGGTGGCATGATGGTGAATGGATTATTTGGCAGTGGGGACCTAACTGGATCCCTTAAGTACTCATTTTCATAGTTTCTAAAAAGGTGTAGAATTTTTTGTTAAAGTGTAATATGTTGTGGGTGGTGTTTGGACTCTACTGAAGCTGGTTCAAGTTACACATTTCCCCCAGTTTTTCTTAAGTGAGCACCAAAAGTTTAACCAAGTTTGGTGCATAAGGTCTTTTGGAGGGGGTCCCTACTGCAACAGATCCTGAGGCCCACCAAACATGACTCATCTATTCGACATATTAACGAATCTGTAGGAGATGTGTGTGATAAGGAGACTTCTATCAATGTGGGTATAGCAAATAGTGGCAGGGAGATGGTACAGGGGAGGAGGATTTTTTCAGTATAGAGAAAGGCTTGAAGTTTCCTGGGCACCCACCTTCCTTGCCCTCTCCCCCTTGCTCCATTCATGACCCCTCTATATTTCCTTTAATCTGCACTCCTAGGTATGTCTACACTTGCCTTCTTCTTTTGGCGGCATATAGTGTACCTCTACCCATGTAGCCCCCCACCATGGGTATAAATAGCAGCGTAGACAAGGCCAGTAAAGACATGCTCGAAGAGTGTGGGTGAGTATGTGAGTACATATCCTGTGGCAACTCTGCTTGTCCAAACTGTGCTGCCAGTTACACTGTTATTTTTAGCACTGTACTATCCTGCTGCCAGTGCCTTTTCCCCACTAGAGGGAAAGACTCCAGAAGTGGGGAAAGGCTCTGTTTGGGGGAAGCAGCGGGGAAAAAGCTTGGGGAACTCTCTGCTGCTGGAGCCTTTCCCTGCCACAGGGAGGGAGGTTTCCCAGCTTCTTCTCCCCTGCCAGAGCCTTTCCTCCTCTCAGGGAAAGGCTCTGTAAGCAAAAGCCTTTCCCGCTGCCTCCCTGCTGCAGGAGTCTTTCATTGACATGTGTCGCCACACGCTGCACTGTGGAAGCAGCTTGCTTTTCACTGCAGCATATAGCTACCTGTACACTACATGCCGCTGACACTGGTGTGTAGTGTAGACGTAGTCCTTGGGTCTCTTGTGTACCTTCTTATCCATCAGTGCCCTGCCTGTGTTTTGCTCCCACATGTGATGCTTCCTCTTGTGCCTCGTGAAGGTGCCCACATTCTGAGACTGGAAGCATGGCTCCATGTCACCTGTCCCTGTACAGCCAAGTATGACAGTACACAATGCCTGTAGATGCCCAAAACCTGCCAAAAGCTAAGCAAAGATTAACTCACCTATACGTGTAAATGTCCCTGAGGCAGTAGCTTAGATCTTGTACTAGGACCTACTTTGGTGTAATTTCTGTCTCTCAGGGGCAGGGGCGCACGGAAATAAAAATCTGGCTGCTTTTGGAAGGGCACTTCCTGTGCCCCCCCACGGCCTGAGGAGCTTGCTCTCCCTGGGTGGCTGGAGGAGCTCTCTCTCTCCCCGCTGCGGCCCTGGGACTGGAGAAGCTGGCTCTCTTCCTGTCCCCCTGCGTCCTGGTGGAGCTCGCTTTCCCACTGGCCCGGAGGAGCTGGATCTCCTGTCTTGGCCTGGCGCCGGCCTCACTCTCCCCGCCCTGGAGGTGTTCTGTGCCCCGCTGACTGGGGGGCCCCATACCCTGCTTGTCCCCCCTTGCGCACATCCCTGCTTAGGGGTGTGGCTTATTTGTACTCCTGAGTGATATAAATTTTGCTGACAGAAGCCATAGTGTAGACATAGCCTAAGATTACTTGATGATCTTGCTAGCAGTGCCTATATTTAAATAACTGAGGCAAAGTATTCTCAGTGAAGGACTTTCCATTCTTGAGCCATTCTTGTGGTTAATTGCCCGCTTCATTTTATGTGGTTCCTTGCAGTGTTTAACCCCATATGCTTAACAATCTGTCCCACCTTGTATTTAGCCGGTTACCTTTTCCATACCTCAAGGAGAGCTGTGTAAAGCTCAGAAGCTTTTCTCTTCCACCAACTGAAGTCGGTCAAATAAAAAAGTATTACCTCATCCACCTTGTCTTTCATATTCTTGAGCCAGTTTATTGACCTTTAGTATTGTGCAAGACCGTCTGTTTTCTCGGGGTTTTGCTAGAAGGGATTGTGTTGAGGTAGTTCCATGTGTATTTTGTTAGATTCCATGTACAGTGTGACCAGAGAGTTTCATGAATGCATTTTAGAAGTGTAGAAGTAGTCCCTATCTATAGCTAACTGAGAGTGTATCCTTCCCTGCAGCCTCTTATACCTCTTAACAATTACAAAGTATATGGTGAGTATAATTTCAGCACAATTTTTGTATCTCCTTAAAGCTTGCTGAAGCAAAGTGGAGTACACAGTAATGCTCTTGTGCACTCTCCTGTTACCCTGAGTCTTGTTGCCTGCTAATCAAGATAATACACACAACATCCACATCAGGAACTGTACTGTAACCTAAATGCCACCACTTCACAGTATTTTAACTATGCACAAGACTCACTGTTATCTCCACAACTGAGATAATATGCTCCAGCCTCTGATGTGTACATGTAACATCAATTTAAACCAGGGTAGGAGACAGTGATATAACTAAGGGCAGGTCTTCGTTACCCGCCGGATCAGCAGGTAGTGATCGATCTCTGAACACGCTCCCCATCGACTCTGGAACTCCAGCTCGCGAGAGGTGGAAGCGGAGTTGACAGGGGAGCGACAGCAGTCGACTCGCCGCCGTCCTCATGGCTCGGGAAGTCGACCTAAGATATGCCGACTTCAGCTACGCTATTTGCATATCTTAGGTCGACCCCCCCCCCCCCCCCCAGTGTAGACCAGGGCTAAGGGAAGAGTTTGACCTTAGTTCCGTAGTGTTATAATAGAGTGAATTTCTGATGGATTATGTGACAGTATACAAGTGAGTGAACTTTACCAAATCTACTAATATTTTAGCAGTTTTAAAGATTGTGTGATACTATTTTTATTTGTCTGTGTTTTGTGTTAAGAAAGCGTAGTTCTTGTTTCTCCCAATAGCATACCTTAGGAAGGGAAACAACAACATTCCTGTAGATGAAAGAAAAGAAATAATTTCTGATGCTCTTTTTTTAAAAACAGCTGTATGAAATTCCTAGATTACAGCTCTGTGGTTTGATAAAATTCCTAAATAAATCCTTAATCTAATCATTTCTGT